ACTGTTAATTGTCATCAGACTCACAGTGACTTTCAGCAATCCATTGTATAGGTAATCATCTTCTTTGGCCTGTCCAAGGAAACCCAAACCTGCAGATGGTGGGGCATGCATCCCATCTCCAGCCTCCCACGCAGATGGCTGGAGGGGCATGCCACCCCCAAGCGTGGGCGGCTGGCGGGGCACGCATCCCCCCTCACAGCACTGGTGGCTGTTGGGGGCATGCCCCCTCCCACCCCACCACCCCACGCTGCGTGGGTGCCCAGGTGGCGTGTAGCCCCTCTCTTGTGGGCGGCTGGGCGCACCCACTTCCCCCACCACCGCCATCCTGACTCCAAGAATTCTCTCCAGAACAAGTCCACCTTGAGGCAGTGTGGTGGCTTCACTACACCCATCTTGAGGAAGGCCGGTGCCCAGCATCCATCTGGGTGAGGGAATCCATTGGTTCCAGCTGTGGAAGCCTCATGGACCTGCAGCATCTGTGCAGCACGGTGGTAGTGTGGGCTCTGCGGGAGGGGATTGGGAGCCGTGACACTCACCCATTCCTCCTTGAGAATCCTTGAATTCCTGTCGTTGAGCCTTGATCTTCACTGAGGGCCAGTCATCAACCATTTAACTGTTTAATTATCAATAAGCCGAAGTCTGCAGAAGGCCATAGTGGCATTGCTTAAAGTGGTTCACTGCTCACGCAGCTCACCACGCTGTCTCTGCCTCCCCCGCCATCTTGGATCTTATCCCATCCTTTTATTTTTAGTCTTCCATTATCTTTCTTTTTCACGTGTGTCTCTTGTAGACAGCATATTGATGGATTTTGGGTTTTATCCAATATGCTACTCTTTTTCTCTTCAGCGGTGCATTTAAACTATTTACATTCAGTGTGATTATTGAGAAGCAAGGCTTTATTGCTATCATTTTGCTGACTTCTTTTTGGTGTTGTTGCTAGTTACTGTGGTCCATTCTGCTTTCTGTGACATCTCTGTAAGAAGGACTTCTCTCAGTGTTTCCTGCAGTGCTGGTCTTGTTTTTACAAACTCCCTTAGGTTCTGCTTCTCTGGGAGTACCTTGATCTCTCCTTCATATCTGATGGACAATTTTTCTGGGTGGAATATTCTTGGTTGACAGTTGTGTTGCGTGTTCAATATAAGTCATTCCATTGTCTTTTTGCTCACATGGTTTCTGCTGACAAATCGGCATTTAATCTTATTTACTCTTACTCTTTGTTTCTCCCTTGCTGCTCTCAGGATTCTCTCATCTTTGGTTCTGGCAAATTTGGCTATGATATGCCATGGTGTTTTTCTTTTAGGGTTTATTCTATACGCTGTTCTCTCAGCTTCTTGAGTATATATGCTCTCATTCTTCGTTATGCCTAGAAAGTTTTCCTATAATAATTCTTCCACAACTTTTTCAGTGCCTTTAGTTTCTTCTTGTTGTTCTAGGATTCTGATTATGCACATGTTCCTTCTCTTGATACTGTTCCCCATTATTCTTAGGTTTCTTCTTTTTCCTTCCTTTTTTGATTCTGCTTTTTGTTCTAGCAGGTCAGTGGCGACAAATCTACTATTTCATTATTTCTGTGTTCCACCTCTTCAGCCCTGTTCATATGTCCCTCCATCATGTTGACAGCATCAGGAACATTGGTCCTCTCATTTTGGATTGTGGTTTCTTGTTTTTCCAGAGCCTCTAATGCCTTATTTTCTTCATCTGTATTGCTTTGGATTGTGTTTTTAAGCTCTTTCTGGTTTTTACTAACAGTGTCCTGTAATTTTAAACTTTGTCTCTAAAGTACTCAAGAGCAATGGTGTCTCTTTGGAGACGAAGGTGCGCCTGATACAGGCCATGGTCTTTGCAATTACTTGTTATACGTCAGAGAGCTGGGCACTGACTAGGGAGGACAGAAGGAGAATTGATGCCTTTGAGCTGTGGTGCTGGAGAAGAGTATTGAATGTACCATGGACTGCCAAGAAAACAA